TTGGTCTGCCTGGAGCAACTGGCGGGTTACCTGGAAGCCCACCTGGTGGTCCGCTCACAACACTGAGCGTCACAAAGTGTGCTGGGCAGTCCTTTGGCACACACACTCCGATGCGAGTGTGCAAGCTGCTGCATCTTGGGCTGACGCAGCATCCACGCGTTTGAGGGCAGGTCACGCCTTCCGCTGTGGCTGCATCCTGTATGTTCCCATCGACAGCACGTGGGCTGCGCTGCCTCCACAGCCTCGCCAGCACCAGTGTCTTCTGATGAGCTGCTCCATGGGTGCGTGGAGTGCTGTCCCTGAGGCTCCAGGGGATTTACCTGTAGAGTGGGGATGGGAGCACCGTGGCAGGGACATACAGGTCCCTCGTCTTCATTGGCCATTTCTAAGGAAGCTGTGTTGATTTATTTGAAAGGTAGAGCTGGAGGATGGGCAGAGACCAGCCCTCCCTGGTTCTCTCCCTCGGCAGCTGCAGCAGCCAGGGCTGGGCCAGGCTGGAGCCAGGAGCCAGGATCTCCTGGTTTGTTTGAAAGGAAGAGTTAGGGTTGAGACACATTGTTCACTCCCTACGTGGTTGGGTCAGGGTGAGGCCAGGAGCCAGGAGCGTTCTCCAGGCTTCCTACATGGGTGGTGGCAGGAAGCCCAGATACTTGAGCCATCGTGTGCTGCCTGCAGGAGTGTCGGCAGGCGAGCAGCCCTGACGTGCGGCAGCCCTGACGTGCAGCAGCCCTGACGTGCAGCAGCACTCCAGCAGGAAATGTGCATGCTTCTGCTGGTGGTCTCATCTGTGGCCCTGTCACCTCAGTGTCGTGTTTCCATGCCTCTTTAGGCTCTCCACAGGGACTTCTCCTTAGAATCCCCCAGGAAAGGACCCGGCGCAGTGGCCTAGTGGCTAAGGTCCTCGCCTTGTATGTGATGGGATCCCATATGGGCGGCGGTTCTAATCCTGGTGGCCCCACTTCCCATCCAGCTCACTGCTGATGGCCTGGGAGAGCAGTCAAGGATGGCCCCGAGCCTTGGGACCCTGCACCCATACGAGAAACCTGGAAGAAGCTCCTGGCTCCTGGCTTCGGATCAGCTCAGCTGTGGCCATTGCAGCCACTTGAGGAGTGAACCATCAGACAGAAGATATTCCTCTCTGTCTCTCCTCCTCTCTGTACATCTGGCTTTGCATTAAAATTAAATAAATCTCTTTTTTTTTAAAGATTTATTTTTTATTTTTATTGGAAAGGCAGATATACAGAGAGGAGAGACAGAGAGGAAGATCTTCCATCCGATGACTCACTCCCCAAGTGAGCGCAACAGCCGATGCTATGCCGATCCGAAGCCAGGAGCCTCTTCCGGGTCTCCCAAGTGGGTGCAGTGTCCCAAAGCTTTGGGCTGTCCTCTACTGCTTTCCCAGGCCACAGGCAGGGAGCTGGATGGGAAGTGGAGCTGCCGGGATTAGAACCGCCGCCCATATGGGATCCCAAGTGTGCAAGGCGAGGACCTTAACCACTGTGGCATCGCGCCAGGCCCAAAATTAAATAAATCTTAAAAAAAAAAAAAATAGAAGCTCGCAGGATAGCCCCCAGGCTGGGCTCCCAGCAGTGGTCTCTGCAGGTCTCTCAAGGACCCCTAGAGAAAGGCCTGGGTCTCCCGTTTGAAGGACTTGTAAGCGAGACTGAGCCTGGCCAGGCTTCAGGATGGCCCATCTGCTTGTGCATGAGTTTCTAGCCTCTTGGCCAGTGTCCTCCCCGCCCTCCAGCCCCAACTCTCTCAGTTCTCTGGAAGATCTCGGCTATGGGTTTCAGTGTGGCCCAGGGTGGGTCTGTGACCAGGCAAGCCATTCAGGATCCAAGCCATTCAGGATCCCTTCCCAGTGCCCCCGAGTTTAGCCCTGTCAGAGTATGAACCGTGTCCTGGTGTTTGCCCAGGCAGGTGGGCGACAGGCTCTGCTGCCTATCCCCTGGCTGGGTGGTGGCTCCAGGAGCTCCTGTGTGTGTCACCACAGAGCAATCCCCGTGGCAGCTCAGGGTCTGGCGGACACCGGTGGTCTGGCCACTGGGGAGGCCGTTCTTGCCAGCGGTTCTGAGCAATACAGAGCATTGCCTGGCAGCAGGAATCCGTCGTACAGACCTGCCTGCCCCCACCAGTCCCACTCTGAGAAGTTCACTTCCTCCCAACTTTACTATGCCACAGACCCCACCTCGGCGCACGAGCCCCTGGGGACTCACACCAGCCATATCCAGCCAGACCCCGGCTGTGACTTGCTCAGCTCTAGGGACACCTGCCTCAGGTTCTGGTCTGTCTGTCTAGCCAGGTCCCCAGTACCTGATGTGGCAGTTTGTGTCGTCAGTTGAGTCCTGTGGCCCAGGCAAGCTCTCAGCACAGGGCTGATAGGCAGCCAACGGACCAGGTGGTCAGCCAAGACCACTTTCCAGGAACTTGTGTCTGCTGGGAGAGATAGGCTGGCTTTTGGCGGCTGTGCTGAGATAAATGCTGCTGCTTGAGAGGCAGGCCTGAGGGCGGGGTGAGGTTACAGGTGCCTTGGGGAGCTGGGGGAGGAGGTGTCTGTGGCACAGGGTGTGTCCAGGGAAGGGCTGGGTATCGCTGCAGGGTCCAGCCTGAGCTGGGAGTGCCTCTTGTGTGGGACCTCAGCCCAGGAGCAGCCACCGAGACCTCTGGGGGATCGCCACAGAAACCAGAAAAAATACCCTGCTGGGGACGCTGCCCTGGCCACCCCGGTGGGGACGCTGCCCTGGCCACCCCGGTGGGGACACTGTCCTGGCCACCCCTGGTGGGGACGCTGCCCTGGCCACCCCGGTGGGGACGCTGCCCTGGCCACCCCCGGTAGGGACACTGTCCTGGCCACCCCGGTGGGGACGCTGCCCTGGCCACCCCGGTGGGGACGCTGCCCTGGCCACCCCTCTGCTGCTCAAGAGAGCCTCTCCCAGGTGCCAGTCTCCCCGTTGGCAGGAAAGAGTCCAAGGACCCTCGTAGTCCTTCGCTTCCTCCCTGCCCTGGGCTGGGGCTGTCGGGACGCTGTGCTCTGCAGAAGTGGCACGCGAGCTGGCCTGGAGGAAGGGAGTGGCAGTGTAGTAGCTGGACCCTGCCCTGAGCAGACTGCAACAGCTCTAGCTTCACCTGGTGACTGGAAGAGTCCCCTGGAGGTCAGGAGACCTGGACTGAGAGGAGAGAGAGCTGGACCAGGAGGTGTCCCTGCCTGGGCCTTGGAGTGGCCGGGCCTCCAGAGGCCAGCCCAGCTCAGCCAGTAGCTGGACCTCACCACCTGGCCTTCCAGACTCTGTGGGGCCCTGCTTCTGGCTGCAGGGCAGGGACAAGGGGCTCCTTCATTGTGGGAGTTCTGACCCCTTCCCAGGCCTCCTGAGCTAGAAAACCCATTGCTGGATATCTCTCTCTCTCTTTTTTTTAATGTGTCTGGGGCTCAGTGCTGTGGCATAGCACGTTAGCACGTTGAGCCAACTGCCTGGGATGCCAGCATCCCATATTAGAGAGTTGGTTGGCATCCCGGCTGCTGTGCCTCTGATTCAGCTCCCTGCTAATGGCTTGGGGAAGCCGCAGAGGACGGACCGAGAGCTTGGGCCCCGCACCCACGTTGGAGGCCTGGAGGACACCCTGGGCTCCTGGCTCCAGTCGTACCAGGCTGCAGCCAGGTGGAGAGTCAGCCAGCAGCAGGCTTCCCCCTCCTTGCCTTGTCACTCTGCCTTTCAATAAATGGAATCAGTCTGTGTGCGATCATCTATTTCCTTAGAATAAATGTGTCTGAACCCCAATAACATCCTATGTAGACTGCCCTTCCCCTCCCCCACCAGGAAGATTGGGCATTCACTGAGTGACCCTTTGTTGGTGAGTTTTGGGCTCAAAGCACTTGGCTGCAGTGGGACCTGGACATGGAGGGAGGGGCCTGGCTGTGTGGGAGCTGTGTGATCCTGGACGCTGCTGTGCCCAGGGGTGCCTGACCTCCACTTGCGGACAGCTGGCAGCCTTGGCGCTGGCAGCAGCAAGGCTGACTCCTTCCCTGGCCCCGCCATGTGCTGGGGTGGAGTGTGCAGCTGGAAGTGGGTGTGGGTGGGTGGGTGCAGGGCCAGCTTGCAGCCAGGGCCCCCAGGGTGGCTCAGCTCTGCCCAGGGCCACCTCAGGGGCAGGTGAGGTGTGGGAGTGAGTGTTGATGGGGGTGGTGAGTCTGAGGCCCCAAGACCCATCAGAGCCACCTGAGGGGCACCCGGCCCGCCCCAGACCAAGTGCACTTAATCTCTTTTTAAGCAATGTTGGAACATTTTGGTAAGATGCGCGTGGCACGAAGCTTTACCACTGCTGGCAAACTCTTCCACCCCGCTCCCCTTTCCTAGCCGGGCTTCAGGCACCTGACTCGGCCACAGGGGTCTTCCGGGCAGTCCTGGCACCTGCCCTCAGGACTGGCCTGTCTCATCCAGTGTGGCTGAGACCCCATGTCCTCCATGTGGCCTTCTGCTCAGCTGTCCATGGACACTCGGCCCTATGCAGCCGTGCAGCCTGGCCCTGGGTTCACCCTGCTGCCTCAGGCAGGGGTGCTGTCCTCTGAAGACACACAGTCTTCCCACGCAGGCCCAGGGAACCCGTGCTCAAGAACGGGGGAAAGTGGGAAGGCGTCCTCTGTTATCTGCCCACGAATGCACCTGTGGCACGCACGGGGCTGCCGTCGGATGCCCGTTCATCCATGCTTAGCCCCGCGGTGCCCTTTCCCCGCATCTTCAAAGCCGCCCTCCCTGGGTGCTGCGCACATCCTACAGCTGGGCTTGGAGGGGCCTCGCTCCGGAAGCAGCATTCGGCAACAGACGCCCCACACAGAGTCACCCCTCTCCTTGGATTCGAACCTGCGTCGGGAGCCGCCCACACCCCCGCCAGGAGGACACGCCCCTCGGAGGCGGGGTCGGGCCCGGCCAATCAGAGTTCCTCGGGCGCCCTGTAGGCCCTGCCCCCGCCCCTGTTTTCCCAGACCGCTCTGCTGCCTCCGTGGAGACGCCGCCGCCGGGTCGTTGCGGGGTCGAGCGGCGCCGGAAGCCGTGCCCCGGGGCTGTCCGTCTTCCCGCGGCGCCGGAAGTGTGCGCCGGCTGCAAGGGTCCGGCTCGAGGGTCGGGGCGAAGCCGCCATGGCTGAGGGCGGCAGCCGCCCCGGGCCTGCAGGTAACGTGTGCGCCGCCCCCTCAGCCCGCGGGGACCCCAGCTGGGCAGCGGGGCGGGGGTCGTCCCGGGGAGCTGCCGGGCCTCCAGCAGGCCCGGGGTGCGGGGGTGGTGCACCTGCTGCTCCGAGCGTCTTGGGACGCCGCCTCTCCCAGGGCGCTGATCCCTGCTGCTGAGCAAGAGGGACAGCGGGAGGGACTGAGGGGGCCCGGGGAGAAGGGCGGGCAGCGCCTCGCCAGGGTCTTTGCCGGCCACGTGCTGCCCGGGCCCTGAGCGCTGGACGGCAGGTGCCCAGGTACACCTCAGGGTGCCCGCAGGTCCCCAGGTACACATAGGGTGCTCGTGTTGTGGCTCAGAGAGAGCAGTGTGGGGTCCTGGAGCTGAAGCTTTTCCACGACAGTAATTACAGCTGGGGTAACCCCCGAGGGCTGCTGGGAAGGGGTGCCTCCCCGGGAGCCCTCCTCGCCATGCCAGCCTGCCAGCCTGGGGCCCCTGTGTCTGAGTGCTAGGCCTGCGGGGTGTGTCCTGCGGTGCGGGTGTTGGATGGACGGGGCCTCCGTGTCCGGGGAGGTGCCGCTTGCCCAGTATGCTGTCCACCCACGCTGATTCACAGACAGACCTTGCACCGCCTGCTTCACTGCCCCAGCGCCCAGCGCCCAGCGCCCAGCGCCCAGCGCCCAAGGCCGCTTCTCCCATTACTTGTGCGGAAAGTACAGCTCTCCCTTACTGATGTTTCCAAGTAGGCTTTGGTGTCCACACCTCCCAGCAGAGCTCCGAGAGCTTGGTGAGGCTCTGGCCGTCCTGGGCTTGGGTCTCCTCCCCCAGCTGTGTGGTCGTCTGGCCACTGCTTCGGGGCCTCATTATTTGCAGGCCGGCACCGGGTGTCTGTCAGTCCGGGTACGTTGGCCTTTCCTGTGCTGGGTGCCCTCCGTGCCGTGGATGTGGCCGGCCCTGCAGCGGCGTGGGAGTGACCCCGCAGGGCTGCGGTGGGTGGGCTGAGCATGCCCCCGTCTGCCCCCGTCTGCCCCCGTCTGCCCCCGTCTGCCCCCGTCTGCCCCCGTCTTCCCCGTCTGCCCCCGTCTTCCCCCGTCTTCCCCCGTCTTCCCTCGTCTTCCCCCGTCTTCCCCTGTCTTCCCGGTCCCTGGAGGAGAGTGACCCTGCGCGTTTGTTCAGTTTGCGGGCGTTTAATCCGGGACGCCCTGGTGCGCCTCTCCGCAGTCCTGGCTCCCTGAACCCCATCCACGCCGGCCTTTAGTGTTCTTGGGTGTGGGGCAAGAATGTGTGGTTTCATGTGGGCAGCTTTCTGCCCTTCTTGTGGAGTTGGGTGTCCAGGCGCCGAGTGAGGGGGGCTCCCGGGCTCGTGTCCCCCAGCCGACAGTGGCGCCTCTCCAGTGCAGGTCCTAATCTGAAGGAGTGGCTCCGGGAACAGTTCTGTGACCATCCGCTGGAGCACTGTGAGGACACGCGGCTCCACGACGCGGCCTACGTGGGTGACCTGCCGACCCTCAGGAGCCTGCTGCAGGAGGAGAGCTACCGCAGGTGAGCAGGCAGGGGGCTGAGGGAATGCCAGGGGCTCCTGGTGGGCAGCAGGGGCTGTGGGCGGGCAGGGACTGTGGGCAGGCCTCTGTGGTTGACCTCTGTGGCCTGGCGACTTACGACTCCTCATCTCTGGAGTGTGCACTGACAGCCTCTGCTCTGGTCTGCCCTTTGCCATCTCCTTTGGCCTTGTCCCACATGGTTCTGTCCACCCACCTCTGTCTCCCACCGTTGCTTGGGTCTGGTGCAGGCCAGCTGTCCTGTGGCCCTGGGATCGGTGGTGCTCCTCTTGTTGGCCACAGTCTCCTGGTCTGATCCTGCCAGTCCTGCCCCTGGCACACTCCCCGCAGGCCCCTGGGGAGCTCTGGGCTGCTTCTCTGGTGGTGTTGGGGTCCTGTGGGCCTGAGGCTGGTCCCCACAAGCTCCCTGCTCTTGTCTGTGGGTGCTTTCCCTTTAGGTTGGGGGTGGCAGTACCTCATGAGGAAGTGCCTCCATGTCCGGGCAGAGGGCTGCTGTGCCCGTGTGTTGTGGATTGTCCCCAGAAGGCCCCTAATAAGTGTAGTGGGGCTTCTCTCTGCTTCTCCTTCAAGTGCCTCAGCGCGTGTCAGAGCAGGTACTGGTGTCCAACAAAACCTGCTCAGAGGGTTTTGCAGTGCACATGTTTAGGCTTAGCTGGGATGCCCGTCCCCTGCAGTGAGGTGCCTGGGTGAGCTGGGACGCCCGTGCCCTGCAGTGAGGTGCCTGGGTGAGCTGGGACGCCCGTGCCCTGCAGTGAGGTGCCTGGGTGAGCTGGACGCCGTGCCCTGCAGTGAGGTGCCTGGGTGAGCTGGGACGCCCGTGCCCTGCAGTGTGGTGTTGGGTGAGCTGGGATGCCCGTGCCCTGCAGTGAGGTGCCTGGGTGAGCTGGGACGCCCGTGCCCTGCAGTGTGGTGTTGGGTGAGCTGGGACGCCCGTGCCCTGCAGTGAGGTGCGGGGTGAGCTGGGATGCCCGTGCCCTGCAGTGAGGTGCCTGGGTGAGCTGGGACGCCCGTGCCCTGCAGTGTGGTGTTGGGTGAGCTGGGACGCCCATGCCCTGCAGTGAGGTGCCTGGGTGAGCTGGGATACCCACATTTCACGAGTGGGCTTGTCTGAAGGCAGATGAGGTGGGGTGCCTCAGACCTGAGGGCCGCCCCTGGGTGCAGATGCCTGCTCCCGGGCCTGTGGGTGTGGTGTTGAGCGAGGCCCAGAGCACCCGCTCACCAGCTGCCTACGGCTGTGTTTCCTGCAGTCGTATCAATGAGAAGTCCGTCTGGTGCTGTGGCTGGCTGCCCTGCACGCCGCTGCGGATCGCCGCCACCGCGGGCCATGGGAACTGTGTGGACTTCCTCATCCGCAAGGGCGCCGAGGTGGACCTGGTGGACGTGAAGGGACAGACGGCCCTGTATGTGGCTGTGGTGAACGGGCACCTGGAAAGTGCCCAGATCCTCCTGGAAGCGGGCGCTGACCCCAACGGAAGCCGACACCATCGCAGCACACCCGTCTACCATGCTTCCCGAGTGGGGCGGGCCGACATTCTGCAGGCCCTCATCAGGTCAGTGCCTGCCCCCCGCCTGGGCTGGACACCGCTGGGCACACCCTGGGCCTGCAGGCTCCCGCGTTCCTGTGTGCTGTTTGCTTTCTCCTCTAGCACTGCAAGGCTTACAGGGCTGTCTGCTTTGCTAGTGTTTTTAAAGAATTACTTATTTCTTTTCACCTTTAAGAATTTAATCTGTTGTTGTCCTTATTCTGTTCTCATTAAAATTTTTTTAAAGATTTATTTTTATTGGAAAGTCAAATTTACAGAGAGAAGGAGATGCAGAGAGGAAGATCTTCCGTCTGCTGATTCACTCCCCAGGTGGCCGTCATGGCTGGAGCTGAGCCAGGAGCTTCTTCCCGGTCTCCCACGCGGGTGCAGGGTCCCGGACTTTGGGCCGTCCTCGACTGCTTTCCCAGGCCACAGGCAGGGAGCTGGATGGGAACCGAGCAGCCGGGACACAGTCGGAACTCTGTCGGGATCCTGGCATGTACAAGGTGCAGATTTAGCCACTGAGCTATTGCATTGGGTCCAGAACATTTTTTTTTTAGATTAATGATGTGAACATTTAAGATTTCATATCCTCTTAGCTTTTTCCTTAGTAAGCATGATTGAGGTTCATCTCTTCTTCTTTGTTAGAGTTATGGAGGAGAAAGACTTTTAAAACGGTGTGTTTTTATTTGAAAGGCGCATTTGCAGAGAGAGGGGCAGACGGAGATCTTGCACTCATTGGTGCGTTCCCCAGATGGCTGCAGTGCTGAGCTGTGCGCTCTGAGCACGGGAGCCTGGAGCTTTTCTTGGGTCTCCCATGTGGGTGCAGGGGCCCAGGACTTGGGCTGTCTCCCACTGCCTTCCCAGGTACGTTAGCGGGGAGCTGGATCAGAAGTGGAGCTCCAGATGGGTTGTTGGCACCCAGGCAAAGAGAGGCTTAACCTACAGGCCATGGCGTCAGTCCCAGCAGAAAGTTTTAAAGGCATTTATGAAGTGCTAGTTTTATTATTTATTCATTTTGGGGCTTTGTTGGTTAATGGTGAGGAAGAGGAGGGGAAGGGGGCAGCCACACCGTGCTGTTGTCACCTCCAGGGGTGGGGTCTGTGATGGTGTGTCTGGTGTTGCCTCTGCAGCGCCCTCTGTCTCACTTGTCTGTCTTCAGCAACATATTTTGCATAATTGTTGCTTTGAAGGCCTTGAAGCAGAGCTCAGGCACGCGGCTGTGTCTGTCGGCAGAGAGGGGCTCACGCATGGCTGTGCCCGTTGGCAGAGCGAGGCTCATGCACGGCTGTGCCCGTTGGCAAAGCGAGGCTCACACACGCGGCTGTGCCCATCGGCAGAGCGAGGCTCACGCACGGCTGTGCCCGTTGGCAGAGCGGGGCTCACACACGCGGCTGTGCCCGTTGGCAGAGAGGGGCTCACGCATGGCTGTGCCCGTTGGCAGAGCGGGGCTCATGCACGGCTGTGCCCGTTGGCAGAGCAAGGCACACACACGCGGCTGTGCCCGTTGGCAGAGAGGGGCTCGCACATGGCTGTGCCCGTTGGCAGAGCGGGGCTCACGCACGGCTTTGCCCGTTGGCAGAGCAAGGCACACACACGCGGCCGTGCCCGTTGGCAGAGCGAGGCTCACGCATGGCTGTGCCCGTTGGCAGAGCGGGGCTCACGCATGGCCGTGCCCATTGGCAGAGCGGGGCTCACGCACGGCTGTGCCCGTTGGCAGAGCGGGGCTCTGTGTCATGCAGGCTCATTGTTACAGTGCCGTTCAGTAGTTTGCACCTTTGGGCTGTTAGAGTTCTGTGTGCTGTCTGCCTGGATTCCTTTTTTTTCTTGCAATTACAGTTACTGCCAGCAGATACTATTTCCGCTATCTTTGTATTTCTTAGTTATTTGCTGTAGGCATATTTGGTATCTTGGTCCATGATCTGTTTTCTTTCCCCTTCTATTATTTTAGTGAGCTCATGAGCCTTATTTGAATCATGCCAGTGTTACATTTATTTCCGTATTTTGTTTGAGCCAGATGTGTCCCCCTTTGCTGTTTGGTGTGCCTTCTCTTGTCCCTGACTCTGGAAGCCACGCCGTCGGGTGGTGTAGCTGAGGAGCCGTTCACAGTGCAGGGACTTGTGGCGAGCAGGATGTGGCGGGTGCTGCTCCAGGGCTGCTCGGAGGGTGCTGCCTTCGCCTGCTCGGGGGGTCCCTGGAACACACAGCCCCCAGCAGAGGATCCTGCAGGGAGTGGCGCCTGCATCCGCTGAGGGAGCCGCAGCGCTGGGAAGCTAGGCCTGGCAGGTGCTGAGGCTGTGCAGCCTGGCCACTGAGACACTTCTGTGTTCTGCAGAGAGTATGTCATGGACTCAGGGTTGCTTGAGCAGGATTGGTCCTAGAGCCCCCCTCTGGGCTGCCCGAGTCCCCATGGGCCTTGGGGCCAGCTCGCAGGCACTGCTGCTCTGTGGGCCTGCAGGCCTGACATTGCTAAGAGCACCGCACGTTGCCATGGCGACAGGTGCTGTCTCTCCATCGCTCTGTGGCTGTGGTTACTGTGCTCAACTCCGGGGAGGCAGAGTGGCCGACGAGGTTGTTATGAACATAGAGTACTGTCTACTAGGCTGTCACCGGCTCCTCCCACCTCCGGCCGGCTCCTCCCACCTCTGGCCGGCTCCTCCCACCTCTGGCCAGCTCCTCCCACCTCCGCCGGCTCCTCCCACCTCCCCGCCCCTGCCCCCTCCCCACAGTTTTTGCTGCTCAGTTTTGTTGTCAGTTTCCTTGGTGGGTATTTCCGAGGCTGAGAGCGGAGTAAGTGGTGGAGTTTGTGTCTGCAGAAGTTAGATGAATTTCTTTTTTAAAGATTTATTTATTTTTATTACAAAGTCAGATATACAGAGAGGAGGAGAAATAGAAAGGAAGATCTTCTGTCCGATGATTCACTCCCCAAGTGAGCGCAACGGCTGGTGCTTGCGCCGATCCGAAGCCGGGAACTTCCTCTGGGTCTCCCACGCGGGTGCAGGGTCCCAAAGCCTTGGACCCTGCCGGGATTAGAACCAGCGCCCATATGGGATCCTGGCACGTTCAAGGTGAGGACTTTAGGACTAGACCACGCCGCCGGGCCCAAGATGAAGTTTTGAACTGTCCCAGAGTTCCTTGCAGCACTGTTAACAGCAGCAGGGGAGTTTGGAGAGCGCTCAGGGTTGAAATGAACTGGGCCGCACGCGGCGTGTTTGCGTGAGTGTGTGAAGGCCCCCTGCCCTGCTGCTGCTGGACTGTCCCTTTGCCCAGGGGACGGACTGCCTGTGCGTGAGGAGGAGGAAGGCCACGTGCGGGCCTGTGATCTCATGATGATCAGTTGTGTGGGGGAAGGTCAGTTGCCGAGTGGCTTCTCGTGTTCTTGCATGTTGTCCCTGTCACCCAAGGAGGCTGGGAGGTGGGGACGCCTTGCTGGCAGTGCGCTGCTGGCAGTGTGCCTCTGGCGGCCCAGCCTGGAGGCGGCAGGGCTGCACCCCAAGGATGAGGATTGGGGACAGGAGGCTGTGGTGGAAGCAGGTGGAGGTGCCCTGTCACTGCCCGTAGGGCCCGTCGTCAGCGCTGCGCAGGGAGCTGCTTGCTGTTGGCACTTAGAGGGTGGCACGGGCCTCTTTGGGGGCTTGTGGGCACTGCAGAAATCAGGTGCTGGCTGTGTGACATTGGCTAGGGCCAGGCGGCCTTCTAGGTGCCTCGGCTCAGGTTGCCTGCTGACCTCTCGGCCAAGTGCAAGGTGTGTGCTCCGTGAGGTGTCTGCTCTCCTATGGCTAGGGAGCCTGCTGTGGAAAGGGACTCTGCAGGCATGAGTGGATCCTGTTCTTGGCACCTTTTAAAAGAAGCTTGATTTATTTATTCAGAAGGTAGGCAGGGTTAGAGATTCGGGGGAGAGATGTCTTCCATCCACTGGTTCAACTCACCAGATGGCCACAGCCAGGACAGGCTTAGCTGGAGCCGGGCACTTACTCTGGGTCCCCCTGTGGGTGCAGGGACCCTCACACTTGAGTTGCCCTCCATTGCTTTCCCAGGTGCATTCGAGGGAGTGGGTTGGAAGTGGAGCAGCCGGGATCTGAAGCAGCGTCCCAAATACCAGGTTAGCCCGCTGTGCCACAGGCCTGGCCTCTTCATTTCACACTTGTCACACGTTTGTGTAGGCTCCTGGGTGTGTCTTTCTCTTACTCCTTTGCAGTGAGCGAAGCCTGGAGCTCTGTCCTTAGAATAGGTTCATGGGTGATTCCAGCCCCTGGCTGTTGCCAAGCCCCCAGAGCCTGTCCCCTGCTGGGCTGTGACCCACCTCGCGACTCCCCGCCCGGCAGCCGGCCTTGGGGTGCCCCTGTGGCAGGTAATGATGGTTGGGAGTTTGCCGTGGGCCTGTCTGGTTGCGGGTCTCTGAAGGCAGTGACAGGCAGGGACAAGCTCTGCCCATGCATTGGCTGTGGGGAGGGACATTTCCCGGTCAGCTGGCTCTTGCCTTTGCCCCGTCGAGACTTCTGGACTCCCACCCTGGCTGTCCCTGGGAGGACCTGACCCCCTGGCAGGGCTGTGTGATGACCCTGCTGGCAGTTGCCTCCTGTGCCAGGCCCCTCTGGGTGAACCTGCTGGGACGAGGAGCTTCCGGGGGCTGACCGGATGTGGCGATGCTAGCTGGCTGCACCTGTGCTCACTGGTTGTTTTTTTGCTTTCAGTTTTTAGGAACTGCTTTTTGACTTAATTATGTTTTACATTGTGGAAATGTAAAACATATTATATATATAATAATGTTATATATATAATCTAATAGGCAAGATCATGAAAAAAAGGTCTAGGTTCTACCCCATCTCCCTCGTTCTATTCTATCTCTCTCCATTGTTAAAGATGAGCAAATCTGGGCCCGGCATGGTAGCCTAATGGTTAAAGTCCTTGCCGGCATCCCGTATGGGTGTCCATTTTAATCTTGGAGGCCCTGCTTCCCATCCAGCTCCCTGCTGTGGCCTGGGAAAGCAGTCAAGGACGGCGCAAAGCCTTGGGACCCTGCACCCACATGGGAGACCGGAAGAACCTCCTGGCTCCTGGTTCGGATTGGTTGAGCTCCAGCCATTATGGCCACTTGGGGAGTGAGTCATCGGATGGAAGATCTTCCTCTCTGTATGTCTGACTTTCCAATAAAAATTTAAAAATCTTTTTTAAAAAAAGTGAATCTATGACTGTACACTCTCTCTCTCACACACACTCACACTCTCTCTCTCACACACACTCTCTCTCTCACACACACTCACACTCTCTCTCTCACACACACTCACACACTCTCTCTCACACACACTCACACACTCTCTCTCTCACACACTCACACTCTCTCTCTCACACACACTCTCTCTCTCACACACACTCACACTCTCTCTCTCACACACACTCACACACTCTCTCTCTCACACACTCACACTCTCTCTCTCACACACACTCACACTCTCTCTCTCACACACACTCACACACTCTCTCTCTCACACACTCACACTCTCTCTCTCACACACACTCTCTCTCTCACACACACTCACACTCTCTCTCACACACACACACACTCTCTCTCTCACACACTCACACCTCTCTCCACACACACTCTCTCTCTCACACACTCACACTCTCTCTCACACACTCTCTCACACACACTCACACTCTCTCTCTCACACACACACACACTCTCTCTCTCACACACTCACACTCTCTCTCTCACACACACTCACACTCTCTCTCTCACACACACTCACACACTCTCTCTCACATTTTCTCTCTCTCTCTCACTGCTGTGCCTCTTCCTGGACCCCTGTGGGACACTGTCTGCCTTCACCTCCCTCCTTGTCAGCCTTCCTTCACAGCCGGGTGGCGTTCCCGTGTTGCGGGCATTGGGTGCTCAGCCGGTCCCGTCTCCCCTGCTCCCGCACTGTCACATGGAGTCCTCCTGCCTTCTTTCACTGTCTCCTGCTGCTCTGCTTTCTGCTGTGGTTAACCTTCAGATGAATGTTGTGGTCACACAGCTCTGTCTGGGGTTCTGGTTTACGTACCTGCATGGCACACTGCAGTGGATGGGAACGTGGCAGAATGCAGAGCGTTGTTCTCAGTGCGCTGGGTTTGTCCCTGCGTCGTTTCACCCCGTGGCTGGCGGATCCCTGCTGCCCGCTCTCCCTGTGCTCCAGAGGCCCCAGGGGCTCCCCCATCCCTGCAGGGGAGCTGTGGGTCTGTGCACAGAGCTCAGTCCTGTGACTCCCTCTTTCCCCGCAGGTACGGGGCCGACGTGGACATCAACCACCACCTGACCGCTGACACGCGGCCCTCCTTCTCCCGGCGCCTCACCTCCCTCGTGGTCTGTCCCCTCTACATCAGCGCAGCCTACCACAACCTCCAGTGTTTCAAGCTGCTCCTGCAGGCTGGGGCCAACCCCGACTTCAACTGCAATGGGCCCGTCAACACCCAGGAATTCTACAGGGGCTCCCCCGGGTGTGTCATGGACGCCGTCCTGCGCCACGGCTGTGAGGCGGCCTTCGTGAGCCTGCTAGTGGAGTTCGGGGCCAACCTGAACCTGGTGAAGTGGGAGCCCTTGGGCCCAGAGGCGAGAAGCAGGAGGAAGGTGGACCCCGAGGCCTTGCAGGTCTTCAGAGAGGCCAGAAGTGAGTGCCCTGAGCCCCTCCCTTCCTCCTTCAACCCTCCAGCTCGCGGGCTGCACTCACTGATTGGTAAGGCCAGCACTGGGCCAGAATCTGCGGAAGGAGTAGCGGGTTTCCAGATGGTCATTGGGGTACTCTCTTTCCGGGTACCAAGCAGGCTCCCTGGAAGTCTGTGAGCTGTACGGCACACGGAGCTCTGCGCTTAGAGCCTGCAGAGTGGCAGGTGTGCCCACCCTGTGCAGGTCCTGGGTTGTGGTCCCTCCCTTTCTGCAGTGCTGTTCACATACCCTGCCTGTGGGGCACGGACAGGTCACCCTGCCTGTGGAGCATGGGACAGGTCACCCTGCCTGTGGGGCACGGACAGGTCACCCTGCCTGTGCAGCATGGACAGGTCTGACGCCCTTTTAGACCAAGTCTGTGGTTGGCTTCTTTGTGAAGAAGGCTTTTGTGGAGGATGGAATGAGTCCCTGGGCAGAGTTTGGAACTGACCTGTGCTGGGATCCAGAAGCTGGCCTGCTGTGTCCCGGTGCCCATGCTCCTGCCTGGGTTTTAGCATCCAGTAACCTCCCCTTGCAGGATTTTGCATCTGCTGTGTCGGATGTCCTAGACTAGGTTGTTCAGTCTTGCTCGTGTTTAACCATCCTTGGTTGTTGGCTGACAGAACTAACTGTCCACAGAATTCCTGCAGCCACCAGAGACTTGGGGAGGTCTCTGGGCCCAAAGCGGAATCATCAGCCGGCCCCCTTTGGTGCTGCCAGGCTGGGGTGATCAACCCTTCACACAGAGGGGGCGAGGCCGGGTTGCCGTCCTGGTGGGTAGAGGTGGGTGGAGTGTGGCAGCACCTTCCCGTGGGTGCCTACTCTGGGTCTCGGCGGGGGATCGGCGCAGGCTCACTGTTGGTCCCAGCGGGCTCTGGGCTTTAGTGCGAGCTGGAGCTCACCCTCCGTCCTGTATCTGCCTTCCCCCTGCCCTCTCCAGGTGCTCCCAGGGCCCTGCTGAGCTTGTGCCGCGTGGCGGTGAGGAGAGCTCTCGGCAAGCACCGGCTCCACCTGATCCCCCTGCTGCCTCTGCCTGACCCCATCAAGAAGTTTCTGCTCTATGAGTGAGTTCGCGGGCAGCGGCTGCGTGCAGTGAGCCGCGGTCTGCCGTGGACGTGGACCCTCACCCCGTGCACCGTGTCCTGTGCTGCTGAGCTTCCCATCGGGTTGCAGGCGGAGAACGGGCCCGCCTCCTGCCGGTTGGATCCTGCCCCGGTGCTCGGGTCCTCGTGCGTCTTTGGGTCTATTGGCCAGGAAGCTCTTCCACACCTGGTCTTGACTGACCTAGGCATCTCAAGTTGGATTCTCCAGGGACCATGCAGTGTGAGCGGTGTGGGCCGCAGCAGGGTTCTGCTGGTGTCCCCACGAGGGAGGACGCCCAGCACTGGCCAGACGCGCTTCTATTATTTACGCCTCTTAGTTCTGTTGTTTGATTAAAGCCTTCGGATATCTAAGGGAAAAGGAAGTGCTGGTTAAAAAGAAAGTGCTGTGATGAAGCGACAGAGTTCTTGGAGTGCTGGACGTTTACTTGACGGTGTCGAGTGCCCGCGGCGTTTCCTGCATATACTCAGTGCTCACTGTGTGGGGGGGTGTCCTGGGGGGTGGGGGGGGCCTGGCGAACGGGCTCTCCGTGGTGGGGTGTCCCGGGTCTCGGGGGGCCTGGCTGCAGGTGTTGGGCGCTTCCGGATGGTGCTTGGCGGTAGCTGACTGCCCGTGTTTAGACTGTTCCAACAGCATTCACTGCCAGTTCTGATGGCGGGAGAGCCACAGGTGCCCGGGGAGGGACAGGTGCAGGTGGCTCTCCAGGGGCCACATGTCTGGAGGTTGGCGGATCATTCTTTATCCTTTTGAGCCAAAGTGTCTCAGTAACTGCTCTTAGAATCTGGGAGCGTGGGTGGCTAGAGAGGTGACCAGGGCCTCTCGCAGGCGTCGTTGGCCCCTGTTGACTACAGCTGCACAGCCAGTGTGGGGCCATGGGTAGGTGAGCCGCGGTTGCTGCCTTCTGGCAGAGTCCCGCTGAGACGGAGCCACAGTGCTGGGTGTGCTTTGTTTAGGAAGGAGCAGGCTGCAGGTCAGCTCCAGTCTGCACCGTCCTACTGACTGTTAGTGCCAGGCGGCATTTCAGCTGACCACGCAGGGAGAGTCTGCATGTTAAACTGTGTGGCTTGGGGATGGAATGGCGTCCCTTCCTGCTGCATCATGGGTGGGCTTTTGGCTAGACCCGTGTGCACATGTGCAGTGGAAGTGGTGGCCTGTGGCGAGCTGTGGTCCTTGTCTTGGGGGGCCCAGCTCCCTGAGGCCTGAATGTGGGCTGCTTTTTGCTTCCGTGGGGAGCTGGGGGCTGCATTGAAGTCAACAGACTTCTCCCTGCAGGACTTCAGGGCCTTGGGCCCCACCGGGGCTGGCTGTGTTCTTTGTGGCACTCGGAGGGGGACAGAAAGGGCCAGGCACAGGTGGGGCTGGGGCAGATGGTCGTGCAGGTGCTCCCTGCTATGGGAACTGGGTCAGGATGCTTGTCCCAGGAGGCCAGCGGGCGGCTCACAGCCTGGAGGCCCGCTGAGCTGTGCTGTGGCCTCCTGCTTGGTTTTTCCTAACTCGGAGTTGCTGCCCTTCTGTCAGGCAGGAGCAGCCAGTCCTCCCCGTGAACTGGTGTTCCTGCATGCCCTGGGAACTGGCTCCCCCAGCCCCAGCTTTCTTTCTTTCTGGGAAGTGGCACCTGTGAATGCTGCCAAGACAGGAGCCTGAGAGCCCGGCATGGTGGGCACTGTACAGAAGCCAGGCCAGGGCACAGCGGGATGGGTGTCCTGCCCCTGCTATGTGCAGGGCTTGCCTCTCTGAGGTCTAGCCACATCCCCAGGATCTCCGTGGAGGAATGAATGGGTGTGTCCTCTTCCAGGTCTGGCTGGGAGGCGACCTGTGTCAGGGACAGGGTGGGAGGTGACCTGTACAGAGGGACAGCGGGCCGGAGCTGGGCTCCCTCAGGCCATTCCTGGGTGGGAGGCACCTGGTCCTCATGCGCAGAGGGCGTGGTCAGCTGCCTCCTGGAGATGCCAGTGACACGGATGTGTGCTGACAATCAGACTGTCCTTGGAAGCTTCCTGGCGCCCCAGGTTGCTGTAAGAGCTGTGCAGGCAGGTGGGAAGGCCGTTCCTAAGGACTTAGAGGGACTTTCACTGGGCTCCAGTCCCCCTTCTCTGTGTTGGTCCCACTGTGAGCACGGACCTGTGGGACCTAGGTCCGTGGAGCAGAAAGACACTGCCTGCTTGGAGCAGGCTGCTCCCCAGACCGGGGCCTTGAAGGGCCAGCAGGGGTGAGCCCGGGGCTTCCTGGCCCAGCCCGGCAGCTGCTGGCCCTGGGCAGCCCCACCTTGGGGCACCGAAGGCCAGGTGGGCTGGTATGGACCTTCTGACTCCTAGCTCTGGGGCTTTTCATATTCCCAGCTGTTTTCATGTGACTTTTCACGTCCTCGGCTTTGTCGCAGGGTTGGAGGCAGCACTGCTTGGTTGGCGTTCTGCTCTGGCGTCCGGCAGCGCTGCAGGGTGGCCTTGCTGAGGTCATCTTCAAGCGCAAGGGCAGCTCTTAGTCCTCTCCTGGGGAATCCTGCTAGGGGGACAAGTGCCCCTTTACAAGGTGTTAGCCCTTGGCCCATGAGTGTCTGCAAGAGGGAGGAGCTTGCTGCAATCTGGGACTGGACACACAGGCCCGCGTCTGCCGCCCCTGCCCCTGCCCACCGCCTGCCTGGGACGGGCCCTGGCTGGCGGGAGACTCCACTAATGATGGACCTGGGCATTTCCCACAGGGCGAGGAGGTCGTGTGGGAAGGGCGCACACACGTGGACTCTGAGAGGGCTTCCTGTAGGTGGTGACTCCTGTCGCTCCCTGCAGCAGCAGTGACCTGCTGGGAGGGCGGGGCGGCCTCCCTGTCCTGCTGCTCTGAGGACAGCGTGGTCACCTGTGAGGGCTGCCTTCTCTTAGGGGCCTGTGTCCTGCTTCTTATGCTAAAAGGAATTCTCTAGTTAAGGTAGAAGCAGTGGCGACGTTTTTGTTTTAGAAAATGCTCTTTGTTGTAAAACAAAATGTTGACTGCTCTCTGTCAGTCCCTAGAAAATCAAATTTGCATGTCTGACTGGAGTGCACACGGGCTCCAGGGGATTTTAGGGTGTGGTTTGAAGCTGGGGGTGAGGGGTGTGAGCACTCGCTGGGCACCGGGGCCCCTCAGGGACACTTGCCAGAAGTCTCTGTGAGCTTCTCGGTGAGACTGCCCTGGATGTCGGTGTGGGCGCTGGCGGTGGGTCTGCTGACACGGGCTGCCTGCCCGGCCACCCATCCTGACCCTCAGGGGCCTGGCCTTGGGAGAGCCTGTTGTGGGCACGTGCCCTCATTTCTGCGTGACCTGTTCTCCCCGCCCCAAGCCCTGCGTGCATCCACGGGGAGCGGGTGGTCCGTGTCCCTTCCCAGGCTCTCTGCAGAGGCCGCCTGTGGAGTTCAGGCCCGGGGAGGTGTGGACGGAGCTCTAGGGACTGTGACCGCGTAACCGACAGGAGGAGGGCTGGCTGCAGAGGACGGCACCTGCCTCGGCTCTGCCCCATGCCCGCTGCTTGGCTTTCAAGGTCTTGTGGCCCGGTGTTGTGTGGACGCACGTAAGTGCAGACAGGACCCCCCTGTGTGGGCAGGACTGCTCCTGCTGCGGATGCCCTGCAGAGCAGGAGGCCCGGCCCCTGTCGCACCCGCTCCTGCTTCGGCGGTGAGCTTCTTTTCCTCAGCCCCGGGGCCGTGCCCATCTATGACCTTGTGCTTGGTTCAGAGCTTTCAGAAGGTGGTGGGCGTTTTTGATATGCTGTTGCAACCTAAATAAATGCTTTATTTCCCGAAAATGCTTTAGTCTTGTGGATGCTTTGCCTCCGTGGGACGAGTGTTGGCCATGTGGTCTCGGTGTGCACATCCCAGGGCGAGCCTAGCTCCATGGAGGCTCCAAGGCAGGGCTCCTCCCGCAGCCGGGGAGAATGGGTCACCCGGGACGGCACCCTGCTTTGCTGCCTGTGACCTGTTGTACTTGACAGCCGTAAGTCCGTGAGACGTGGGGCTTCCCTGCGTGGGCTCACCTTCATGCTGATGTGTGGTGGGGCATGGAGTCTGTGGGCTGGCTCCTGTTTCTGGCCCCTCTGTCAGGCTGGGTGTTCGGAGGGTAAGGGGTTGAGTTGCAGGTTTGGGGTGACTGGCTTGAGGGAAATGAATAAAGACATCTGAGCATCTTGCAGTGGCTGTTCTGTCTGGTGTCTGCTGGGTCACCCGTCTCCTGCTCGCCCATGTCCAGCCGCTCAGACATGGCTGGGCTGTGCAGCTCCGGTCGCCGTCCAGGCTCTGCCCGAGGGCGGCCATCTCAGTCCGTAGCCGCACCTGGCCTAGTGGGGGTGCTGCCTGTCATTCCCCCTTCACGAAAACCTGTGAAAATGGTGAGTTTCTCAGGCCTGGCACATGGCTCAGTGGCTAAATCCTCACCTTGCAAGCACCAGGATCCCCTGTGGGCACCAGTTCATGTCCCAACTGCTCCACTTCCCATCCAGCTCCCTGCTGTGGCCTGGGAGAGCAGTGGTAGAAGCTCTTGGCTCCTGGCTTCAGGTCAGCTCAGCTCTGGCCTTTGCAGTTGCTTGGGGAGTGAATCATTGGACAGAAGATCTTTCTCTCTGTTTTTCCTTCTTTCTATAAATCTGCCTTTCCAATAAACAAGCAAATAAAATTTTTTTTAAAAAGATGAGTTTCTCTTAAAACAGATCGACCAAGATGACTAGAAATGGCAATGCAATGTTGAACACCAGATGAATGGGGACTGACTTGGAACCCTAACAGAAAAGGGGGACCCCCTGAGAGAACGCGGCTGTGAGAGAAGGGGGACCTCTGGGGATCGGGTTGTGGTGGAGAGCTCCTGGGGGCGCCTTGTGGAGTGGACTGGCTGAGAGCCTGCTCCCCCCGGTGGGGGAGCCTCCTGCAGCCCTCGGGGACCAGCGTGGTGCGTGAACGGCCAGTGACTCGTTGTGCACATGTGCTGTCATGGGGCGCCGCTCGCCTGCAGCAGACGGTCGTCTACACCTGGCCCTACCTGCATCCCCTCCCGAGGCGGGAGAAGTGTGCCCCGCTGCTGCCTCCTGCACCATTCCCAGCTGACTGTGGAACCATGCAGCTGGCCCCTCCTGTAAGTCAGTTAACTGTAACTGCGGGCTCTGGTAACTCCCTTTCTGCTTGAAACCTTGCTTGCCCTGTATGGCTCTCAATCTGATTGGAGGGTGAGAGCTTAAACACCCCCGACGTTGGCAGCTGGCGCAGTGGCTCCTGAGTGTCGCGGCGCTGCTGTCCCCAAGCTTGGGACATGAAGACTCCTCCTCACATCCTACCCTGGGTCCAGCGCAATGTCTCGCACTCCGTGACAGCGCGCTGAGGCAGGAGCCTCCCTGGGCCGGCGAACCTGCTGGGAGGGAGTGAGACTGGGTGCTGCTCACACCTG